TACAGGCCAAAGGAGGCCCAACTAAATACTGAGTGCTGTACATGCTCATACTTTTCATGTTCATACTTTTCAGTTGGCCAACATTTCTATAAATCCTTTGTTTTTATTGGTCTTCAGTAATATTCTAATTTTCTGATATGATGAATTTGAGATTTTCATTTGTTGTCATTTGTAATCATCAAAATTAAACAAAATAAACATCTGAAATATATGAGTTTGTATGTAATGTATGAATATAATATACAAGTTTCACTTTTTAAATGGAATTACTGAAATCAATCTACTTTTTCATGATATTCTAATTTTATGACCAGCACCTGTAGTTGTGTGGTGTGAGGGTTCCATCTGGTGGTGTGAGGGCTGCCCCTGCAGCATCAGCAATGAGGTCAGCAGGCAGGAAGGAAATGACAATCTAGTTCCTTTAAGTCAGATTCAGAAGCTGTTCTTGTTCCTCCTGAATCCATCCCATCTGCCCATCCATTCAGCCATCAATCAACCACCATTCATCCATGCATCAATTCATCATCCATCATTTATTCATAATCAATCCATCCAACATCCATCCATTTATTCATCATTTATCCATGCATCTATCATCCATGCATTCATCATTCATCCATCAAACTATTCATCATCAATCCATCTATTTATCATTTATATCAATCCATCATCCATCCATCCATCCATTATTCATCATGCATCCATTCATCCATCATCCAAGCATCCATCATTCATCCATCCATCATTCATCCATGCTTCATTCATTCATTCATCCATCCATCATTCATTCATCCATCAATCATCCACCCATAATCCATCCATTCATTATTCATCATATATCCATTCATCCATCCATCATTCATCCATCATGCATCATTCATCCATGCATCATTCATTCATCCACCCATCATCCATCATTCATCCATGCATCATTCATCCCTCCATCATTCATTCATCCATCAATCATCCACCCATAATCCATCCATCCATTATTCATCATATATCCATTCATCCATCCATCATTCATCCATCATTCATCCATGCATCATTCATTCATCCATCATCCATCATTCATCCATGCATCATTCATCCCTCCATCATTCATTCATCCATCAATCACCCACCCATAATCCATCCATCCATTATTCATCATATATCCATTCATCCATGCATCATTCATCCATCCATCATTCATCCATGCATCATTCATTCATCCATGCATCATTCATTCATCCATGCATCATTCATCCATCATTCATTCATTCCATCAATCATCCACCCATAATCCATCCATCCATTATTCATCATATATCCATTCATCCATCCATAATTCATCCATCATCCATAATTCATCCATCCATCATCCATCCATGCATCATTCATCCATGCATCATTCATCCATCCATGCATCATTCATCCATCCATGCATCATTCATCCATCCATCCATCATTCATTCATCCATCAATCATCCACCCATAATCCATCCATCCATTATTCATCATATATCCATTTATCCATCATTCATCCATGCATCATTCATCCATCCATCATTCATTCATCCATGCATCATACATCCATCCATCATTCATTCATCCATGCATCATTCATGCATCCATGCATCATTCATCCATCATTCATTCATTCCATCAATCATCCACCCATAATCCATCCATCCATTATTCATCATATATCCATTCATCCATGCATCATTCATCCATCCATCATTCATCCATGCATCATTCATTCATCATGCATCATTCATCCATCCATCCATCATTCATCCATCCAACAGTTCATCATCAATCCATACATAATTCTTCTCCATCTCATCCACTTGAATCCACAATCTTTTAATTTTAATCCTAAACTGGTTCAGGGTTTTTAGTAGGCAGAACAGTTCTGATCTCTGCAGACAGATTCTGGTTTTATTGGACCTTGAGGATCCTTCAGCAGATTCTTCTGTTTGTGACTGGTTCCTCTTATTGGATTCCTGGTTCTCCTGAGATAGCCTGTTAAGATCTGGGGTCTGTTTGTCAAAGAGGGTTTACTGAAAAACTGAAAAAGTTTTCTAAACCTGCCATCAAGGAAACTGAGTTTTCCGTTTACAAAGATAGTTTACTCAACCTCTATTTCTATTACCGTAGTAACATTCTCCCCAGAGTTACCCTGGTCGGGATTTTTTTCCTCAGAACCAGGTTTTTCTCAGTAAACTTAGTTGCCTCTGTCTCCTTAAGTAGGAAATGAAATGCTCAACCCAAGAAATTTAATTCACAAGATAGTGTCTTACTATTAGCACTAATTATATTTCAAATGTTGCAGTATCACAAATGGTGACATCATGTGATTGGTCAATGCTTTAGCTAGCAATTGTATACATTTGATATTCCAGCAACACATCACAACCATAAAACACTTAAAACATTTGGTTTGATGGAGGACGAAACTGAAAAGACACTGAAATGTCTAGATCACATTGCTTATGCTTTTGAGCCCATTTCACTGTGTGCTGTAGTAAGGAGAGAAGAGACAGTTTTGGAGCTGGTGTTCTCACTGTCCTTGCTAACCTACAAGGAAATGCATTTTTTCCTTGTTAAAATTAAGTTTTTTTTAAACAAAACTACATTCATCATTTCAAGAATAAACATTTTAGATATCTAAAAATGTATGTCAATTCTCCATATTCATACACTGGTCATTATTTGTATTATTTTGGTTAGGAAGAAATCTATTTCAGATCTTCAGATACATATTCAGTAAAGCTGATAAATGCCACTTAAAGTCTATACATTTCTTTGTATATGAAACGTAATTCTTAATAGTACAATCTATTTTTTTACTGTCTGAAATTTTATTTCTGCTGCAAAAATGTATGCCAAAACAGCCTGCCATACTAGAGTAGTGCTGTTGCTCTTTCTTTTAAACAATTATCCAGTATTTTTAAATCTCTAGTTCCAGTGTTGTGAAATAGGCACTTCCTCTTCCTTGTTGCCATGGTGACCTGTTGAATTGGTGCTCCACTGATAATGGCCTTACATATTTGTTACACATGCACTCAACTCAGAGTGAACCTACTCGGGCTTGATTTTGAATTAACTCACTAAACTTAGTTTTCGACCTCAGGCTTGATGAGTTCAAAGTTGAGGATTAGAGTCTGAATTTGTTAAACCTGCTTTTTGCAACTGGCCTTAGCTTTTGACTTTATGTGGCGTTAAGGATGAAAAAACTGTTGCATTAAAGCTTAACTGTGTGTGTTTCTGAAGTTCTCTGTTACTATTCTTTACTAATCATTTTTTCTCTCCTTGCTGTCCTTTAGAACCTGGGATTAGTTTGCCCCCGCTTCTCCCGTCTTTGTAGATCGGCCTTTCAGAGCCCAGACTATTGGATGAGCAGCTACAGTCACAGTATCACTGCTCCCCAGTAAACCCGGAAACTGAGACACTTCTTCCTCATCCTCCCTCCACCCTCCATGAACTGTTCAGGGAGTCTGTTCAATAAATTCCTGGTTTCTCTTTATTTTTGGAACAAATTGTGCCCTGAGTTCCACTGGGGTGGATAAAAGCCTCCATGGTTCTGTTTCATTTGGTGGTCTTGTAGATGATGTTTGGTTCTGATCGGTCTTGTTCTTATAGTTGCAGTTGTTGTCTTAGTTCCCTGTATTTGGTTGTTAGGAACTATTTAATACACCAAACTTCTCGTTAAGGTCCGGTTCTGTTTCCTTTCAAAAGGGTTAAAATTTCATCATTCATAATTAATAAAATATTCAAACTTAATGTTCTTTGGATTGGACTTCTGTATCGAAGAAAATCGGTCCGTTACCATGGTCACTGCAGACAGGAAACAATGCTCCCACCTCTGCATTAGAGATTAACCAATCAGTGTCCAAAAAAATGATCCTTCATCGTTGAACTTTTTGTTAAACGTTACCTGAGACGGATCTGCACTAGAAACGGAGCCTAAAGTAGGTCAGGCGAGTTCTGACCCTTCAGTGGGCCGTTTATTTTTCTGCCTGGTTCTGGTCGGATTCCATGTTTTGACTGTAATGTTTGCTTTCAAAGTTTCCAGCAGGTTAAAGTCCGACCCAGAGTGTGGTACCTCTTAAACTGGTATCACTTACCTCCTGAGGTCCAGCAGGCCTTTTTGTGACCAAAGCCCAGTTCTGATGCAGCAGACTCTGTTGATATGGACTAATGGGTCCAGATGTGTTCAAGGTGGGAAAAATTTTGCTGCCTGATTACCGGGTCTCTGATCTTAGTTTGTTTTTTTTTACTGAAATTCTAGAAGATTAACATCATTTGGAGATTTATTGATTTATGAAGCATTTTCTCACAGGAGGAGGGGAGGATCCTCCTGCATTAATTTAATGGCGTCTGAGGAGAAGAAGCGTAATCATAACTATCTCATTACTAGATCTATCCCGACCAAAACCGGGTTAATGTGACGTTAGAGATAAACATCAGAACCACAAAGATTTGTCAGTTTCTCCTGAAATACTTTTATTTCAAATGAATATGAGGAGATGATACGGTTTGACTCCAGATAAATTTAAGTTTAAAGTAAGAAAAAACTCATTTATTTTATTCTCCATCTATTGATTTGATTTTACATCTTGGTCCAATCGTCTCGGTAAGTTCTGATTACAGGTCCAAATTCTTTAGGGTTGATCCGTTTCTGTAGCGACTGGAGATCACGTGATGAAGATGTTCTGCCTCCCTGTGGACTCATATGGTCCAAACAGAACCTTCTTGACACTAAATCAGAGTTTAAATTCTAATGCTGGTCACTCAGATGTATCTGACCTGATACCAGAACCAAGGTTTCTGACTGGTTAATGGGTCAGGTTCTGGAAGAAGGAGGACACTGCTGATTGGTCCAAACTACATCATGACATCATCAAGGCGTCTTCTGCACATGCTCAGTCTGACTGCAGCAGATCAGAACCAGCAGGATCTAGTTGTGGATGTTTGCTGTTTTTGGAGCAGAAATAAAGACTCGGAACCAGAACCGGTTAGCTTTTCTTTACTGGGAAATTAAACTAGTCCAGAGATTAAAACCAGAGCAGAAACCAGTTTAGCTTCCTTTACTTAGAACTTCCTCCATCAGTCACCGGGGGAGTCACCAGTCAGAAATACAGGCACTTTGGTGGGCAGGACCAGAACCTGGACCTGTCACCATAGCAACAGTCTGCAGAAGCAGGGCTGTGCCATGGCGAGGCCTAAAGGCCACATGAGGCTCAGTGGAGGCAGACAGAGAAGATGATTGGTCCAGATGGTGAAAAACCTGGCCCAGCACCAGTACGAGCTGGTCCTGAAGTTACCATTAAAACCAGTTTATTAATAAACAAACATAACTCCCAGCCAGAGAGCATGCAGTGGTTCTAATCCAAATGATTGTTTCTTTGAGCTGATTGCTCAGATTAAAAAACATCCTGAAAATAAATGTTCTGGTAAAAGTATGCAACTCCAGTTGCCGCTGATGAAATTTAACCAGCAGAACCTGATCTAAATACCTGAACCAATTCACACCTTTTCCTCCCAAAACCAGAGCCGGTACCAGGGTCCAGCAGGAGCACAGTTTCTATGGACTGAACGGTACCAGCTGAAACCAGCCTGCCAGATTTGTCTTTAGGAACCAGAACCTGAATATTTTACTGATTCCACTTTAAAACCGGGATGGAGCTGGGACCAGAACCCAGCAGTTCTGGTGAGTTAAACAGAACCTAAAGATGGGGATCTGGGTTCTTCTCCATCGGTACCAGATTAGCATCACAGAACCAACAATAAAACACCTTCAGCTAAAATGGCATCATTGCTATAAATAAGTTACATTTTCATGCATAAGTTTCAGACGGTTTTGCTCTGAGGTCCGGCACAGTGGACCCCAACCCCCCCAATCAGTCATTCCTCTTTGGGATAACGCTGCAGTGGCTCCTCCACCTCGATCACCTCCACCACCAGGTTCCGGATCTCCTTCACGCAATCCAGCGGCTGGACTCCAGAACCTTCCGGAGAGGACGGGGTGTCGCTTGGTTCTGCTGGACTCTCCACAGTTGCTCCGGCTCCAGCTGCCTCCGTCTGAACCTCAGAGGACGGTTCTCCAGCCGAGGTCTGGTCCTCAGATGGTTCTTCTGGGCTCCCAGCTGATTCGACCACGTCTAGAATTTCGGAGGTCTCTGGGGTTCCGGTGGTTGACTCCAGGTCCGAACGGGGCGAGTCGCTCCCTACGGACACGTTCATGGAATTTGGATCCGAGGCGGAGAGGGACTCTTCCACCTTCAGCCTCAGCAGGGAGTCTTCTGCTCCCTCGCCACCAGGGGGAGCCTCTAACTGGATTCCTGGGTTCTGGTTCTGGCTCGGGTCTGTTTCCTCGCTGGCAGCTGCAGGTTGAGACCCGGTTTCTTCAGCTGCAGGTTGAGACCCGGTTTCTTCAGCTGCAGGCTTCATGGGTTCGTTGGTTCCATCCAGAACTGGTGCTTCTGAAGCTTGACTTTCTGCAGCAGCTGACGGTTCTGCTGAAGTGTTTTCTGCAGAACCTTCTGTTTTCTGGGTCTCTGGTTCAGCTGTTGAATTAGGTTCTTCTACTTGGACCAGAACCGATGTTTCCTGGATCTCCGCTGGCTCTGCTGTCTCCGGCTGGACGTCTGTCTTCAGCTCTTCTTTGCTGCTTTCTTCTACCTTCACTGTTTGGACCGGTTCCTCTGCCTGCTGACCGACTGCGGTTCTCGTCTGATCCTCGGTTGGGTCCATCTTCTCCTGCGGCTGGTCGGCCTCCTTGCCCGGACTGAGGGGCAGACCGTTGACGCTCAGAGGAGAGGGAGGAGTCTGAGAGGTGGACCTGGTGGGGAGTTGGGCAGGGCTGCCTGGTGTGGACACGGAGGACAGGCTGGAGCGGCTGTTCCTCACAGAGAGGTTGTGCTTCTTCAGGGCTGCGGCTTCCTTCACCACTGCAGGACAAGAGGAGAAACAGGAGGTTAGCAGGAGGACAAAGAGGAGGAGGAGGGGTGTCCTGGACCGGTTCCTACCTTTAGAGACCTCCTCGTCTAAGATTTGCAGGAGGATGTTTTCATAAACGTTCTCGATGTGGATGAAGCTGGAGTAGTCTGCATAGATGGTGGATTCCAGACCCTGAAGCTCCTGTAAGGATGACAGAGACAGATGATCAAAGGAGGTTCTTTTTTCTTCTGCAGCCTGCTGGATTAACCAGACATCTCCTGGATTAACCAGACATCTAGTCAGTGCAGTCTTTCATCCACGGTGTGATCTTCATTTTCTTTTGACTCCTAGTCAAAGCAAGCAGTGATCAAATGGAAGACAAACAATAGATTATGACATTTTTGGGATGATCTGTTTTTAACAAATATTTCTAAATACCTTTTATTGAATTTTGGGCCGTAGAGAAACAACCAGCAGTAAAAATCTTTTCGCTGCTTTAAGCATTTTTCATGTTTCTCCATGTCTCACCATGTCAATAGTCCAGCAAATGGTTCCGCCTGGTAGGACGGTCCAGCTTTACTTCACCAAAGAAATAAAGATGCTACCAAACTAATCCTCCTCATTATTGGGGGTTTATATAGACTGGATCAGAGTTTTGTTGGTCCATCCGCCCCAACAACATGCTCAGCTTTGCAGATGCCTCTTAGCTCTCTGGACTAATGAAACATTATTTAGAGCAGAGGTCGCCAACGCGGTGCCCACGGGCACCAAGGGGCCCTCAAGGACCACATGGGGTGCCCTCAACGCCGTTTGAAAACAGCAACTCAGCAGTGGGCTAAGTTTGAAATTTTATTTTATTCTGTGACTCTTCTTTTTAATCATTTATAGAGCATTTATAGAGCATTTCATCATAGTAATCATTTTAGGGCATTTTAGCATTTATAGAGATTTTAAAATTATAATGTTTAAAGGAAAATTAGAAATTAAAAGTTAACAATAAAAATGTGTTTAATTTTGATGAAGTTTAGGTGAACGCTGACCCCTCTTGTTTATAGGTCAGTATTGGTAGCCCTTCCTATGATTCAATAGCCATGAAGTAGCCCTCAGCCTTGAAATGGTTGGTGACCCCTGGTTTAGAGCAATGCTCCAATAATCCAGAAAAAAAACAGATTAAAGCAGCTGATTGGTTCATTCATGCTGAACGGGACTGATCAGACCCATGAAAGGCAGCTGAGGTGGTCCTGTTCCGGACTAAAAGGGCAACAACGAGGGAGAAATGAGAAGACCCAATGTTCTGAGATTTAAGAACCAGGAAAAAACATGACGGTTCTTTCAACAAGAAGCCATTGTCCTAAGTCTTAAAATATTGGTTTAGTAAAACAACAGATTTCAATGTTGTGGAAACTACAGGAGCCCCGGTCATCACTGATTTGGTCTCTTGCTCAACAATACATCTGAATTATTAATAACTCATTTTAAACCAGAGTGAGAAGAGCAGGCAGTGCTCAAAATTTAAGGAATCAGTCCTGTCCTGTGAAGCCCCCAGGAACCAGCTCTAGGTGTATTAGCCTCCACCTCCCTCCTTTAAGTTGCTGCAGAGCTCCTAAAGCATGCCTGTGGATCAGCCGCACATTGATCATATTTATCCACTGCCAGCTGTATGTGGTGCATATTTGGCCCAAAGCGCTTCCTGCTGATTTGGACTTTAGGACCTGATTGAGGCTCAGAACCAGAAACCTGGCTGTCTGTGTTTCTGCAGTCTTACCGCTTTGCAGGAGTCAGCCAAGTTCTTCTTAATGAAGGGCAGCGTGATGGAGACCAGAGCATCCTGGAAGATCCTCTTCCTCACCGTGCTGCTGTCATAGTCGTATTGCTGCAGTGAGAGGAGGTCAGAGGTCATTGGGAGTAATGGGTCATGGTGATAAACCCAAACATATTTAAATTAGCTCAGACACTCATCACTGATTTCTCAGCTTCATGGATAATTTAATAATAAAGACGCTAAACTGAAAGAAAAAGGTGAAATGCATCGATTTAGGTCTCAATCCACCACAGCAGCTTTTTGCACGGTTAATAAAGAACCGCAGCAGAAAGCAGAATATAAAATAAACTCAAAAATCATTTTTGAATCATAAAAGTCCCACATTTAAATATTTATTTTACTTTTAACAGCATCAAAAATTTATTTAATTTAAAAAACCGACCACTAATGAACGAGTTCTACCTGCAATTACACTAGGCAACCACTAGGTGGCACTATGAAATCACTGCTAAACCAGCAGTGTGTAGAGCACCAACACACCTACTAACTTTCATTTTAGTCCAATTAAAGTATTCAGTCAAGAAATTACTGAATTAAGAATAAGTATTTAATCAGCTGCATACTGAAAGTACTGAGTACTTTAATCCTGAAACAACTGGATTATTAGATTATTGAAATAATCAACTAATTTAGTAGTCGATTGTTAACTGGAGTATAGAGACTAAAACACGCCTTTACCGGTTAGATCAACCAACTTATAGTGGAAATTATACCAGAATTGTAAAAAGATATATAATATACTATATCCCGAACGCCTCAAGTGAAAAAGTTTTAGTTTAATTCTTTAAAAAAAATCTTCTTAAAGGAATCATTTACTATCCAATTATTAATTAATTATTATCATTAGTTGCCACCTAGAATAGTTTATGGATCATAACGTCTGAGATGTAAAATGATGTAATCAAGACGGTGGTAATTCTGGTATTTTAAAGTATGAAATACAAATAAAAACATGAAAGCACATTCAAGCAGAAGAAAAATTTTTCTGAATATCCTTTACGGTCCGTGATAACTGAATGTCAGGAAACGAACATCCAGCTCCAGTATCTATTGCACTTCCACCTGATTGGGAGGAGCCAGAATGCTTACTCATGTAAAAGTAATGATACTCTCACAACAATACTACAGTAAAGTACAAATAAATACTCCTACTGTGTTTCTTAAAGTTCCTGAAGTAAATGTAAGTAGTTAACACCTCCTCTGCTGCTGACACACTGCAGGGTGGAGAGATAACAGGAATAAGCTCAGAGAAGCTGCTGCTGTTGAAGACCAACATCTCAGACGGTTCCCGAAGGTCCAGTTTAACGTTAGAACAGAACAGAAACCCAACAGTTCCACACAAAGGCCAGGACCATGAGCCAGAAACATTCTCTGTGTAAACAAAGATGGCTGCAGGACGCTGTCCTCTGACAGAGGAGACGAGAGCAGAGGTATCAGGTCAGACTCAACAGAACCAGAACACAGTAGACCAGCACCAAGTCCAGCATAAGCTTTAAAGCACGGTGGTGGACACATGATAATGTGGGTTCTCCCTCACTATATGATACCATGTCTGACAGCTGCAGCTGGGTGGGTCCAAACCCGGTTGTCAACAGAACACTGACCCAGAACCACACAGAGATCAGCTGAGAGGAAGTGGTCATGTCAAAGTCCAGCCCTGATTCTGTGACAGAGGGACTGACCTTCAGAACCCGGTGTTTGGCCTTCTCCACAGCGGTGCCAGCCGTCTCCGGGTTTTCCTCCACGGCTTTCTTCAACATCAGCTCGAAGGTGTATGCCGCGTTCTCCACCAGCTGGACAGACCAACAGAACCTCATCAGAACTGGATTTTCTCAAACATGTAGAACTGTGGGAGGAGTACCAGGTACTACCTGCTGCAGGTCAATCTGAGCTCTGTGGATCACGGCTGTGCTGGTGCAGAACCCAAACCTCTCCTGCAGGTTCTGGAGTCTGTCCTGCACACTGTTGATCTGGTGGTAGCAGCTCAGCAGGTTGGGTCGGGCCATCTCAGCCAGCGCCTGAGGAAGGACAAGAACCTTGGTTCAGACTAGGGCTGGGTACCGAACTTCGGTACTTTTATGGTACCGACCGAAATGCTTCGGTTCTACAGAGTATCGAAACATGCCTCGTCTTTCGGTACCAAGTTTCGGTGATTGGCTGGAACACTTAAGGTGATTGCGTCATCCAGGAAAAATACACAGGTGGTCACGCCTACAGCCAGGGTTCATGTGTATCTTTTGTGAACTGGTTGCAGCGTCGCGGAACCCCTTTAAAATGCCCCCCAGGTCAAAAGTGCGGCTTCACTTTATTAAGACTGATGCTAATAGTGCACAATGCAATACATCGTGCACGGAAATAATTTAAGAGCAGAAAGTCGCTCTGTGTTTGACTGCAAGAAGAGCGGACCGCAGCCAGCGCGACCATCCTCCTCTCAGCAGCCCGTGGGCAGAGCAAAGCCAGAGCGGAGTGAATCATGCTGCTTTCAAACTGGACGCAGCAGGAGAAGCAAAATCACGTCTGCTGCTTCCTTTTTTGCTGCTTGTACCAGCTTCTGACGCGCGGCTGAAGCAGCTTTGCTGCTCTGGCTGCGCGGTCGCAAAGTGGGTCAGACGCACGTTGGGCGGAGCTACTCTATCCTTTATTTGCCTTGCAGCTATATTTGCTGTGATCAGTGGGAATAAAGTAGTTTTATTATTTTTTTAAGTGGGAAAATCCACCTGAAAACGTAATCAGTGCAGTCAGTTCATCCTGCCTTCAATATTTCTGTCGGAGCCGCTCAGACCCCCCATACCAGCGGTGCGCTGTCAGTAGGATCCCATTCAACGGGCTTGTTTGTCAGACATGGTAATTTTTCTAAAGGAAAACTGCTAAGTAAAAAGGTCCTCACAATGTAACAGTGAATATTAGACACTGAATTATTTATTTTTTTATGTAAGAGGAAAAATGTAAATGGAAAAACAGAGCTTAAAATAAAACTCAAGATTTGTACTTTTTTATGTTGTGTAATTTTCTTTTTTTTCGAATTGATATTATAAAACTGGTATCGAAAAAAGTATCGTTCAGGAACCGGTATCGAAGTGAAGGTATCGGTATTGGTACCGGAACCGAAATTTTTTTAACAATACCCAGCCCTAGTTCAGACTGGATCTGTACTTAGAGGATGATCTGGACCAGCTCAGGGTCCAGTTTTTCCAGAACAAAGCCAACCTTTTTCAGCGCCTCGTTGTCCACTCCGCTCTGGACATCCTCGCACACCTGGTCCATTTTGGTTTCAATCAGCTGCTGCCCCTCCAGAAAACCTGCGCTGATGGGATCCATCAGCTCCTCCAGCATAGAGCCTAGAAAGGGTTGGACGGACTCGGAACACAGCTGCTCTGCAGGCTCCGACACCTTGGCTGGAACAATGAGAAATGGATCAGAACCGAGCCTGCAGCACCACTCAGACCTTCCTGCTGCTCCACAGATGGTTCCGTTACCTCGGACCTTATCCTCCAGCTGCCGTCTGGTGTTAAGGATCTGGTCCATGTCGGACCTCATCAGAACATCCAGCTGCTGGGCCGACGTCCTGCACTCCTCCTTCAGAGCCGACAGTCCCTCCAACAGCCTCTCCTGGACCAGGAAGTAGGCCGCCTCAATCGTCTGAGGAGAGTCCGTTTAAAGCTCAGAAAGGTTCTGATTGTTCAACCCACCGGTTCTGATTACAGGTTGTGAACGGACTCACCGAGAACCAGACCTTCTTCTTCTCCGTCTTCTTGGCTTTAAGGCGAGGCAGCAGGTCTTTGCTCAGCGACGGCAACAGCTTCTCCATCACCATATTGGCCATCACCTGGAACCAGAACCATTCAGAAGGTTAGAGTCCAGTCAACCCGCTTAGAAGGTACCAGTTTCATCCTTTCAAAGAGCTCCAGAGGTTAGTCACATGTTTATCACTTGGTCCAGGCGGTTCCCCTCAGATGAAGGTGGAGAGGTCAGAACTTTTTAAATAAAAAATTCAAATTCTTCACAATTGTTAAGGAAAAAAGGTCCATCCTCCATTATTCCACAGTTCAGGAACCTCTGAGGTCCACATCTACTCTGTCCAACAACAGCCCAGCAGCTCTGGCTGGTACTGCTGGGCTGCGAGACTAAATATTAGGAGATGTTGGAAATAAGGGTTTTCAAACCCAAGCAGCGCTCCACGGCAGTGGCAGCATCATGCTGTGGGACAGAATAATGAAGATGGAAGTTGAGGTACATCAGCCTCTCCAGCAGGAACCAGCTAGAGGTTTTAATTGGATAACCCAGACACTGATCCAAACTGATTGTAGAACGCAGGGATTCCCAAAGTGGGGGCCAGGACCCCCCGGGGGACCCCTACTTTAAGAACCCCAGTTTAATGGATCAAACATTGTTAATTATAAAGAAAATTTCTGTTCTGTCCTTGACAGGACCGGACCAGGAGAAGCAGCTAGATCAAGGTGGTCAGATGTTCCTCTCTGCCCACAAGAAGCAGATTCAAACCAAGTCATCTCAGAACAAACAGGTGCAGCTGAACAATGAGCTCAGGGTCCATGTTCTGATAGAGGTGTGGCCTGAAAACCGACACCCAGTCATTCCAGTCATTTCTCAGCTGTGACTGAACTGCTGCCTCATATTCAAACTATGAGCTGCGCCTGTTTGTTGGCAACAGGAAGCAGGAGTTCTGCCGATCCGCTCTGCAGGCGGTAAGCTCAGCTTCCTGAGAGCAAACAAACAACAACAGCAGACACAATGGAGCGCTCCCAGAGCAGCGCGTGGGCGGGTTCCTGTCCCGCTTTAGAGGGAAACGCAGCCGAGGGGGAAAAAGGTAACAAAGAATAGAGGAGAGCTGATCTCCTCCAGGGACTCAGACATTATTCTGATCAGAACTTCCTCTGGATCTGAGTCTGCATCCTGTGTTACTCGGGACCTTTTGATCGAAATGCAGCAAATATTTACCAAATTAGCAGGTTGTTTTTTATGAAAGGGTCGATTAACTTTTCAGATTTTAAACGATTTTTATTTAGTAAGACTGAGATAAACGGCTCTGGTGCTCTAGAAGCAGACAGAAGGTTTTCCTTCAAATATTGATGGATAAAAACGACCGATCTGCTGGAAAAGTTAAAAACTTATAAACTTAAAAACTAAAAGACAAACAGATTCATCTGTAGGAAACGTTATCAGTGAAACAAAAGGTCCAAAAAAAGTAACAGAATTAAAAACAAAACAAAAAATACATTAAAAAAATAAAACTATTTAAGCTTCAAATAAAAAACGCAATATGGAATTTAAAGTAAAATATTACATTTATAATCACACTGCAAAAACAATCCAGAAATAAGTAAAAAATGGCTTAAATTAAGTATATTTAGCCTTAATTTGAGCAGGTAAATAAGATGATTTGCCAATGGAATGAGTATTTTCACTCTTAAAATAAGATATTTAGATAATATTTACTTGAAATAAGACGATAAAATAGTTTTTTCTTATTTTAAAAGGAAATTGTCTTGTTCCATTGGCAAAGTGTCTTACTTATCTCCTCAAATCAAGGAAAAACACACTTATTTTAAGAAAAAATAACTTATTGAGATTTATATTTTTTGCAGTGCAGCAGCTCTGGAACATGTCAAGTCCAAAGACTGACCGGTTCTGTACAGACCGGCACCAAGATGGTTTAAAATGAACAGTTGTTCTGCTTCGGGTCAGAACCTTGGAAGCAGAGCCTGACTGAACATGAGCTGGTGAAACAAAGCATTGTCTGGCCCGTAGATGGAACCCATATCAGAATCAACCCAAATGTCATTTTTATTGCTTAATGTTTGAGATCAGTCTGATATCAGATCAATCTGCATCGGCCCGACCCTGAAATGACCTACACACATACACATCCTAGAGCACACATCTGGATACTGAATGAAAGCGTAGAACAGAACTCTGAGGAACCCACAGACTACATGATGAACTTTAAACCCGCCTCAGAACCAATCTGACAGAATACTCCGGAAGAAGAACCGCAGACATTAACCCTAATTAGGCCTCTCAGGTACCAGACGTCTGGGATCTAAGGGGACTGATGGGGAGAAAGCCCGGCTTCAGGGTCAGAACAACAGGGAGACTTCTGGAGGAGGACCTACCCTGACGTCGCTCCCGATCAGCATGTCCCACACCTGGTATTTGTCTCGGTCCTGTCGGTAGAGCTGGATGGCCTTCAGGAAGGCCTGGACTTCACACGTCTTCTTCTTCAGGAAGTCTGAGGATGAGAAGCACAATCAGGTGAGTCTGTGGTGTCCTTCACCACCAAACACTCTGTGGGAGCATCAAACACAGGTTTCCAAGGTGCTCGGATGAGCCTGTCACCATGGCAACTGGAGGAAAGCCATTTAACCTTCGGCTGAGCAGCAAACTGCAGACAATCTGAAACGGTTCCTGCAGCTCAGTGAGGAGAGACGGAGGTGGAAACATCTGGTTTCAGCTTCCTCACCGGGAAACCTGTAGATGTTCAGCAGCTTCCTGGATCCATCTCTGATACTTAAAGGAAGAAAACATCCAGCCTGCCTGAGGATGACCTCATTGTTACTCATGTAAACACATCTGGATCAACTCCAGAGCTTAAATGAGTCCAGATGTGTAGATTTACTCTGAAACCATATAAAAACTAAAAGATCTGGTGTCAGGTTTCAAATCAAATCAAATCAAATCAGAAGGAGTGTTTTCTGATTTGCTTTGCTTCTGCAGATGTTTGGTACCAGGTTCTGGTTCTGTTCAGATGGATTCATGACTGAAGATACATCAACTAATAAGAGCTGCTTCAGACCTTTTTAATTATCTGCTTTATCCCATTCTTTGTTTTCACCGAGTTAGTGAGTAAGAGGAGCACACCTTCATCAGTCAGAGTTTCCCACCTTGGTTCTGGTGCTTGATGCAGTCCGATAGGATGGAGAGGAAGGCCGTCTGCTTGGCCTGCTGCCTGAAGCAGAAGTAGGAATCCCTCCTGTAGGGCAGGCGGAGGTAAACCGGGAACTGCCCCGGCATCCCTGACAGAGGAGGAGCAAACTCCTCCTTTACACCTGGAGTAGAAGAAGAAAGGCGCCGCGTTAGACTCCTGATGAACATCCACATCCAGCTCAACCAAAACTCGTCAGTAATCTCCCTTTGTTTCCTGTCTGGCTTCATGAAGCTACAACAGTGGATTATTTGAAGAAAAGGATTTAAAACTAACTTCATTCTTTTAAATTAACTTCATTCTGTCAACTTAACTGATGACAGTTTTTCATCGAGCAAAGTGTTGGATTCAGAAAGCTGCTGATCTCAGAGTGGAACTATTTCACCACCCAGCCACCATTGGTCACGCTCATTTTACAAACAGAAGAAGACGAGTTCAGGCGCCTCCACAGAGAAAACATGCAGCCAGACTGGCTCTGATGACACTTTTATCTTCTAAAGCTCCCAAAAAATAAAGAACTGGAAACATAATAATTTAGCTTTTAACTTTAATTATAACCAACACTTTGATGAAATAAGAAGATGATGCAGAGCTGGTTTATGGTTTCATTTCAGCAGATCTGCTCTGCTCTCATGTTCCAGATGTTTCCACACAGACGTCTGCAGAAACTGGCAGGACGACTTCAGATGGTTTATTATGGATAGATCTTCAACACCAACAGGGCTGCAAATACAGATCAGGGTCCAAATCAAACCTTCCTTTGAGATTTTTAAGACTAAACTTAAACTGATGCTTCAAAGGCAGAAAGCAGCTAAATTAGGGGTCTGAAACACCAAGTCAAATATGGGTCTGTCTTCTGGTTCTTCTCAGCGAATGCGATCCGAATCATTCAATGGGGAAAACAGATCAAACCGTTTCCAAATGTGTTTCCTTGTTCTTTAGAGCACAATGAAGGAACCAAATAAGCAAATCATAACAATTAGGGGTGGAACGGTACACAAAATCCACGGTTCGGTTTGGTTCACGGTTTCTGCCCAGCAAACATCCAGGTGGGGCCCATATGGTCCTCACTTGGGCTAGATGGGCTTCAGCTGGGCTTGGGCTCAGGGTGGGCTCTGTTGCTGGGACCCATGTGGGCAGTAGACCAAGCATGGGCAATAGGTGGGCTCCAGCTGGGCACGGTTTACAAATTCAAAATGGTCAAATCGACATGTTATATAACAGCCACTGAAAGGTCTCCTTTTTTATGCTATTTTACTTATTTATTTTTAAGAAGTAAAAGTCTTTAATCCCACACTAATCCAGCCTACCTAAATGATACATTTATAAATCATTTAAATAATTGTAATTTAAATCACTTCACAACCCCCCTTTCAGTGAAGCGGCTGAAAATTTAGATCTCAAAATTTTACTGAGATGACAGATCAATATGTTTCATAATAAACCGGCCCTGATCAGTATTTCATATTCTAAAAGTTTTTAATGTCTCTTCCTTTATTGTTTTCACACAGGTGAATTCTACTTTCATACTGATACACTGGAATTAATCTAAAACCAAATAGTATGTGCTTAGTTATTTTATTATTTGATGTATAGCTTAATGATTATACACTCTTCATTTAGTTAATTCTGTTCTAACATCACCACGCTGTGGATTAACTAGCTTTTAAGAGCTTTTTAAAAAAATTATGTTTTGCTACGATGTCTTGTAAACAAAGGATGCTAAGAATTTAGTATTTCATTTATTGTGGCCTTTATTAACAAACTTTAGAAGGGGAAAAATAAATTACCACAATTCTCAATTCAGTCACTAGGGGGCAGTGAACACGAAACAGGGGAGCGTTTATAATGTTCATATTTTAATAATTTCACAACTAAATAAGTATCTTGAAAATCACCCAAGCTAACTAAACAAATACGAAAATGGTCTGAAACAGAACTAAACCTTGTAGCGTCCAGGATCATACAGTAGTCTTGCTAACAAAACAGTTCTATTTCAACCGGAAGTGGATTCCGACACCACGCTTAGCCGGAAGTTAACGGGGGCCATCTGTGCACATAGCCTATTTAACTCTGGCCATTTCTCAATATGTGTTCTTGAGCGTTCTCGTGTGCTCGTGTACTCGTGACACGTCATCAGCCTCAGCCCGGGTACCGTTCCAATTCTCAAGAACGCCAGATCGAGAACACAACAAATCCCCGGATGTTGTTCTCACCCCGCCCTCTTTATCGAGCATACATCAGAGCAGACTTGTGCGTTCTTCAGACTGACCGCTTCCCCAGAATGCCCCGCGGCCGCAGCTTGATTCAAGACAGCGCTCACAGTGTTAAGTTAAACATTCCCTTTTCTGCTGCTGTTGTTCTTCAAAAGAATGTTTTGAAATCGTTTGACGCGATAACATTATACATTTAAGCCTCCCTGTGTGGTCTGTTTACAGAGTTAGTGCAAAATTTAAAAAAAAAGTCCGACGTTGAGCGGACCAGAGTGACCAGCAGACCTCCGAGGGTAACCGCAGCCAGGGCTAAATTTACCCCGTCTGTAGTGCACTTTTCTCGGTCTAGTTATGTGTGAACTACCGCTCGTTCTGATGGCGTTTTTTTGCGGTTCGGTAATTTTTTTAAATGTTTTTTAAGCTTTAGAAATTAAAAATATTGTTTTCAAAATGTTTTGTGTAGGGAATAAATAGTTTTGACTGTTAAAGAAATGCTAAACAACGTTGCCTGTGATGACGTCACGAGTACGCTTCTGCTCCAATACACATACGTGCTTGCGTGCTCGCGTTCTTGTCAAGTCCGATCTTCCTGCGTTCTCGCCAAGAACGGACTTGACGAGAACGCGAGTACGTACTCACGTTCTCGTGAATTGAGAAACGCCCTCTTATTTCGGCGCCATTGGAGGGACGTTTTTCTTTATCTTTGCAGCGGAGACAGTATCCTTCGGACGACATACAGGTAAGAATATACTTCTACATCTAATAAATACTGTTTTTCGGAAAGTAACTATAAAGAGTGTAGGAGCTAGGTTTAAAGTGTCTGCTGCAGGCATAGTTTAGAGAATGCTAGTGATGGTGAGATGAAGCCTCATGAGGCATTGAACCGTTTGGCCAAATAGCTTCAACAATCCCCACAGTTCATGAGGCTTCATGTGAACATGTCATCACAACTGGTGGACAGCAGAACTACAGTTTGTAATAAAATCTATATTTCTTTTTTTCCCCTTTAAAGTTCCCTTGAAATTGTTAATGGTTGGTGTGTATAATAAAATCTTTTGTAATTTTTTGAAGTGTAAAATTTCTTAGAACAATCATTTAAGGTGCACAGTTTTTCTGCCATTTTAGTTAAACAAACTCAAGCAGACAGTGAAAGTGTTTGTGCAAATTGGGTAAAACTGGGCAATCAGAATCAGAAATACTTTAATAATCCCAGAGGGAATTTACTTTGATGAGCAATGATGAGAAAAATGAAAGGCGTTAGTCATTTTTATTCAAACATGATAGTTTTTCCACAATTTTTATTTCTAATCAGGTTGGGAGTTGTGTTCAACCAATCTTTTGACTAAACCGACCTAATTTACCCAATCTACAGGTGCTGGTCATAAAATTAGAATATCATGAAAAAGTAGATTGATTTCAGTAATTCCATTTAAAAAGTGAAACTTGTATATTATATTCATACATTACATACAAACTCATATATTTCAGATGTTTATTTTGTTTAATTTTGATGATTACAAATGACAACAAATGAAAATCTCAAATTCATCATATCAGAAAATTAGAATATTACTGAAGACCAATAAAAACAAAGGATTTATAGAAATGTTGGCCAACTGAAAAGTATGAACATGAAAAGTATGAGCATGTACAGCACTCAGTATTTAGTTGGGCCTCCTTTGGCCTGTATTACTGCAGCAATGCGGCGTGGCATGGAGTCGATCAGTCTGTGGCACTGCTCAGGTGTTATGATAGCCCAGGTTGCTCTAATAGTGGCTTTTAGCTCTTCTGAATTGTTGGGTCTGGTGTATTGCATCTTCTTCTTCACAATACCCCATAGATTTTCTATGGGGTTAAGGTCAGGAGAGTTTGCTGGCCAATTAAGAACAGGGATACCATGGTCCTTCAACCAGGTACTGGTAGCTTTGGCACTGTGTGCAGGTGCCAAGTCCTGTTGGAAAATGAAATCTGCATCTCCAAAAAGTTGGTCAGCTGCAGGAAGCATGAAGTGCTCTAAAACTTCCTGGTATGTGGCTGCGTTGACCCTGGACCTCAGAAAACACAATGGACCAACACCAGCAGATGACATGGCACCCCAAACCATCACTGACTGTGGAAACTTTACACTGGACTTCAAGCAACGTGGATGAAGTGCCTCTCTTCTTTTCCTCCAGACTCTGGGACCTTGATTTCCAAAGGAAATGCAAAATTTACTTTCATCAGAGAACATGACTTTGGACCACTCACCAGCAGTCCAGTCCTGTTTCTCTTTAGACGCCTCTGACGCTGTCTGTGGTTCAAGAGTGGCTTGACACAAGGAATGCGACAGCAGAAACCCATGTCTTTCATACGTCTGTGTGTGGTGGTTCTTGAAGCACTCACTCCAGCTGCAGTCCACTCTTTGTGAATCTCCCCCACATTTTTGAATGGGTTTTGTTTCACAATCCTCTCCAGGGTGCGGTTATCTCTCTTGCTTGTACACTTTTTTCGACCACATCTTTTCCTTCCCTTCGCCTCTCTATTAATGTGCTTGGACACTGAGCTCTGTGAACAGCCAGCCTCTTTAGCGATGACCTTTTGTGTCTTGCCCTCCTTGTGCAAGGTGTCGATGGTCGTCTTTTGGACAACTGTCAAGTCAGCAGTCTTCCCCATGATTGTGTAGCCTATAGAACTAGACTGAAAGACCATTTAAAGGCTTTTGCAGGTGGTTTGAGTTAATTAGCTGATTAGAGTGTGGCACCAGGGGCCATCAATTTTGAACCTTTTCACAATATTCTAATTTTCTGATATGATGAATTTGAGATTTTCATTTGTTGTCATTTGTAATCATCAAAATTAAACAAAATAAACATCTGAAATATATGAGTTTGTATGTAATGTATGAATATAATATACAAGTTTCACTTTTTAA